AAGTAAGAAGAATCTGGAGAAAGCATGAGAAAGGCTGAGAAAAGAAGGAGGAGGAGGCCCAGAGCCGGGAGAGGATGCCCCAGATGACAGCATAGGCCTGTGGGAATAGCCGAGCATGCACTCTCTGCTTGCACAATAGAGTTACCTGGGGAGCTCTGAAAATTAATGACGTGTGGGTCCAACACTCAGAAACTCTGATTTAATCGATCTGAGTTTTGGTCCGGGAACTGGGATTTTCAAAAGGTCCCCAAGTGGTTCTAATGTGCACCGAGGTGGCCATCTGCTTCTCTAGCACAATGATCTAGGGATCGGGACGTAGGAAGAATGATCTCAGGGGAGCACTGCGATAAGCCCAGTCAACGTGCGATGGTGGGGAGGAGGGGAGCTGGTGAATGCAAGTGGTGGAAGTCAAGTGCAGTCCTTGTTTTATTTTTACCTCCGGGAGAACTCAATGGGGAGGAACAGAAAAAGCATAGGATTTTTGGGTAAATGTTATTCATGGCTCACTCAGCCTTGAGACTGTGTCTCTGAGGACTGTGGCTCAAGGGCTCACCTGCTGTCTCTTAGAGTGTAGGGTAGAGGCACAGTCTGTGCGGTTCGGCCCCGGAGAGCCGATGACAGGCAGGGCCTCTGGGATCCTGGTAGTTTCTGTAAAGGCAGTGGAGGGCACGAGAAGACTGGGGTGGGCACTGGAGGGATCTGGGCTCTGGACAGCGTGGCCACTTGACTCCTGGGAAGCTGAGCTGTCTCTTGCCCTCTTGGCAACAGACCGGAATTAGAATAAAATATCAGCTCCTGGGTATTAACCAGATTCTGGTTTAATGAGTCTGGAATGGGACCCGGACATCAACATTTTTAAAGTTCCCTAGGTAATGCCAGTGTGCAGTTGGGACCTACTTGCTCTGAGCCCTATGGAGCTGTCTCAGGCTCCAGCCCTGCCCACACCTCCTTTGCTGCAGACTCAAGAGAATGTGCCAGAATGTATTAGTTTCCTATTTCTGCTGTAACAAGTGACCATAAACCTACTGGCTTCAACGCTCATTAGCCTTACAGTTCTGGAGGTCAGAAGTCGGACATGGGTCTCCCCGGAAGGGCTGTGTTCCCTTCTGGAGGCTCTGGGGTGGGGGTGGGGGGCCCACTCCGTTGTCTTTTCCATCTTCTAGAGGCTGCTTGCCTTCTTTGCTCATGGCTCCCTTCCCCCATCTCCAAAGCCAGCAGTCGTCTATCTCCGACCGCTCTTCCATAGTCAGACTGATAACAGCAGGGAAAGGTTCTCCGCTTTCAAGGTCACATGTGATTAGATGGGGACACTGGATAATCCAGGATAATCTCCCCATCTCAGGGTCCTTAACTTTAATCACATCTACAGAGTCCCTTTTGCCATGTGAGGACAACATATTCATAGGTTCCAGGGACTCAGAGGTAGATGAGTTTGGGGGCCACTCTTCTGCCTGCCACACCTGTCCTGATACTCGTTCTTCCCTCCACTCCAACCGTCCCCCACACGGTGGCTCAGCTGGCCCAGGGAGCCTCTGGGCATCTCTCCTTCTGGAGAGGGTGACAGTGAGGGGGTGGGGGGAGCCTCTGAGGATACAGCTGCAGCTCTTCAGTCCGGGGCCGACAGGTAAGATGAGGAGGGATGTGCATGCCACCCCAGAGCCACTTTCCAAAACACTGGGCAGCTGTGACAGAACCATGAGCAAAGAAAAGTCTATTTCATTTTGAAATGAAGAAAAACCAGCATTTTGCTTTGTTCTATAACTGTTTTCCAACTGTTGATATCCTAGGGTTGATTACAGAGTTCAAAAGAACTTGTGCAATTCTATTCCATTTATCCTGAAACTGGAGACTAAAACATAATCATCTTGAAGGTCAGGGGGCACTTAGCTGCCGTGAAAATGCAAGCGGCGTGGCTTCATTCATTCCGCAGATTCATTCCGAACAGCTACTTGCTCTGGCTGTTCTTTCACTCAGCCTTTCTGAGTCCCCGTTGGTATTAAGTGCGATCATGAGCCTGTTGCTGTGTACTTCTCCATTAGAACTCATGTGCCAGATGAGGGCTTGGTCCTTGGCTTTTTGTCTAAGGATAGTGTCTCCGTCTTCAGCGTGGTGGAAAGCCTCACTTATCAGAAGCTTTTTGGGCAGATGAGCAAAATCTTCGCTTTGAAGTCAATTCTGTTTGACATTTTAGGAATTAACCCAAGATTTAATATTTGTCCTCTCCCCAGAGGTCATGCATTTCGCTGTGTGCTCTTGGGAAAGTCACTCAACCTCTCTGAGGGCAGCACTGGCCTCTCCTTGGAGGGCTCATCCTTGATGGGCTGGTCATTTCTTTTAGAGCCTCATTTCCTCTCTATCATCAGGAGGTGGAAGCAGGATCTTTCTATGGCCCCAAGGCTCTGTGATTCTGAGAGAGCAGGGCTGATCCCAGTGATGGTAAGGTGGGCATTGCACCAGGAGAAGAATCAGATTCCCAACCGGCCAAGCATCGGCTCTTCCTGCTTTTCCTTTTCCAGAAACACAGACCCCATATCTGCGTTGACTCCTGCCTCCTCCCCTTTTCCGCCCCACTCCCTCCCTCTCTGGGCACTAAGACCAGGATTGGAGGGAGCCCCTCAAGGAGAAAGCCAGGAGGCTGAAATCAAGCAATTTCACTTGCGCACAAGGATTTCCCCTCGTGCCTCATCACACCCTTCTTACACCGCCCTCCAATTTATTGTGTTCCCCACATTCCACTGAAGGATGCATCACCTCCGTGCAAAACATCATGTTGTTACTAATCACCCCACCTTCCGTCCCCACCTATTTCTAACCGGAACCGAGGCTGGAAGGAAGGGAGAAGCGGCTCATCTAGTCTGTTAGCCCAACATTCATTTATTGGGTGTCTTCCGAGTACAGAGGCAGTCACTGAATCACAGACTGTCAGGCTGCCAGAGCCCTAATACATCATCCCATCCACCCCCAGTACTTTATAGATGGCAGTGCTCCCATGGAGAGGTCAAAGCACCTGCTTCAGGTCACCCAGCAGGGCTCAGGCCAGAATTCAAGATATCCTGTCACTAGTTCATTGTGCTTTCCCCTGTGCCCTGTGGCTTAAGGAGGGTGCTGATGATTGATTCGCTTCTGTGAGCATAAAGTGAAGGAAAACAGACACCATTTCTCTGAAGTGCTCCGAATTAATAAGGACCGGGGATGCAAAAAAGACGAATAGCAAGGCATTTTTAGAAAGTGAAATTGGAAAGCATGGAGGTAACTCTCTCCTGCAAATGGTGATCACATTAGGAAAACGTGGGGGAAATGGTCTTCTGGGGGCGGGGAGGAGCCTTTACTGAATTGGTTTTCCTTCCTTGCTACATTGGCTCGTTCATCCACCTTCTGATTGGCACACACTTTTCTCCTGCCATTTTTCTTTTCCTTGACATATTTATTACCTTATTTTCATATTATACTATAAACCTTAGTATACACAGCTTTTAAAGCAGATATTTTTAATGCAAGATGACACACCAAGCTTTGAACCCCCCAATAAAATTGACCGGGGACATCTGGTACTAAAATCCTTGCATATCCTCCCCAGAGGAGACTGCTCTCTGTTTGCTATCTTTAAAAAGTAGTGCAGGAATGAAAATAGGCTGACGTTTTGAAAACAAGAAAACAATGACCAAAAAAAAAAAAAAAAAATCCTATTTTTCTACTTCAAGTTAAAGTCCTCAAGATAGATCCTTTGACATCGAGAGTTGACATTTGCAGCAATTGGTTATTTTCATCTATTTGACTCTGACTATATACAAGTGCCAGGTAACTCATCTACTAATTTTTCTTCACAGGAACAGGAGACAGTACTACATGTGTTATTGGGATTCAATGCTAAAAATACAAACGTTATACGTTCTTATGAAAATAAAGGGTTTTTGATTATTTCTTTTGACAGTTCAAAAATCAATATTCTAGGGCCTTTGATAGAACAACCTTGGTTAAAATACTGCTCCTGGAGATCCTTGGGAAATTTTGAAGGATCTGGAGACCCTCTGTTGTCAGGTATAAATGTTTTTACTTTTTTGGGGGGGGCAGGCAAATAAGCTGGGGCCGCAGCTTCTCAGCAAGAGGCACCAAGGTCTATGTTAGTTTCCATTGTTAAGGTTAAGCTGAAGATCTGTGGGGAAGGAGGGTTCATATTGTGTCTGAGGGTCCTTTGTGGAAAGTGAGACCATTATCCTGCCCTTAATGGTTCCTGGTCAAAAGTCCATCTATCATTTGAGATCTGTGCTTGTTTGCTCTTCCGATTGTTTGCTTATTATGTTAACATCTGTATATCGGCGTTTAGGGAGAAACCTATTATTATGAAATAAGATTGACTTATTACCCCCAATAAGAGAAAAGGTTGAGCTTGGATGTCAGTATGAATGCTCAATTTCTACCCTAACTAGAATAATAGGATGGACTGGGGACAGTAACCTGGTGCTCAGCTGACTGATAGAGGCCACTCCCCTCCCCACCTAGTGTTCCCCATTACCTGGTAACCTTTTCCAGGACTAGCACAAAGGCCTAAAGCCATATGGAGAAAAGAGAAAGGCCAACCTATAGCACCGTATTTTCTAGGCGTCTTACCTATAGGTGGACAGAGCACAGGGTGCAGTCCACCTTCTTGGCTTACAGAAAAGGAAACTGAGGACAGAGAGGCGAAGCCCTGGCCCAAGACCACGTAGCTTGTTACTGGCTGAGCTAAGACTTGAATCCAGCTCTCCTCATTGCCAAATAAATATTCTCTCTACGAATCCTGAGTGCAAATGCCATTTACTTCTAAGTGTTCACTAACCTGTCCTTCCCTTCTGGAAGAGTCAGATTTCTTAAGTAGCACCTGAAATTGCTGCCGTTTCTTTCATTTACATTTGTATTAGGGAAGAGGATGAATTTGTGCTATAGGACACGTTGGTATTATTTGTGGCACAAGATTCAGCATGTTGGCATCACTCGGTTTCTGGATTAAGAACAGCACTTACCCATACTGAACAACGCCCATCAGTGGACCGCCAGGGCCAATGTCAAGAGCTTGGGCAATATCAGCCAGGAACTGCTTTTGGATTCGGAATCGGCGTTTGCCAATGCTCGAGCTCCCATCAATTAAAAATGACAAGTCAACTTTGCAGTCTGAGGAATGGAAAAGGGCTCTGTTATTCTGATGATCTCTCATTGCATTAACCCAGGCTTTTTCTCCTCTTTCTCCCCCAGGGCCCCCTGAGAATCCAATGCAAAGAAAGTAAAAAGTAATGGCAAGACGCAGGGTATATTCACTTATTTAAGTTCATAACAGATTTTCACTGGGCACCAAGGTCCTGGACACCTGGGCTAGCACTTATTTCTATAACTGCTTTAGAATTCTCTGTATCAGGGCGCCTGGGTGGCTCAGTTGGTTAAGCAACTGCCTCCGGCTCAGGTCATGATCCTGGAGTCCCTGGATCGAGTCCCGCATCGGGCTCCCTGCTCAGCGGGGAGTCTGCTTCTCCCTCTGACCCTCCCCCCTCTCATGTACTCGCTCTCTCTCATTCTCTCTCTCTCAAATAAATAAATAAAATCTTAAAAAAAGAATTCTCTGTATCAGCCAACTTAGAGCCTTCAGAAGCAATGGCCTCCCGGTCAAATGTGGGAAAGCCCTGAGGATGGTTTCCCCGGCTCAGACCACTTCAGTGCAGACCCCCCAGATGTAGAATTCACCAAGATTGAGTCTCAGGAGCTTGCAGTCCCTTACCCTCATCTTAATTTTGTAGAATTATGTGTTGGGTTTTTATAAAGGTATAAAAAATTCTGCAAGGCCAGTGCTAAGGGGAGGGCAGGAATGGTAGAATGAGAAATTGATACCAGTTGTCTTCACTTCCCCAGGTGAGGCAACCGTAGAATTACCCACATATATCTACACATCTCAGGACTTGTTGGTAGCAAGCTTTGAATTTTTTCCTTTCTTTTAGTTGTGATAAGGACTAGGACAGTTGTTCTGGCTAGGATCTCTGGATATGAGGCTATGAGGAAGGCAGGGGGCTAAAAGCTCTTCTCAACCTTTCAAACGCTGCAGGAGTTGGTGGAAAGTCACATAAGCTAATAGTTAATGTCCTCTTTGCTCTCGATTGAAATTACATCATCTTAGTATGATAAAACTGATTATTCAATACTGTTCAGAAGTTCTTATTAGGAGGTATATATCCCTTTGGTAAAAAAAAAAAAATGGGGAATGAATCGTTGAACAGCTGCGATTTGGGAGACAAAAATATTTCAAAACAGAGTTCCATGGGGGAAAGAAAGAGAGAGGGACAGTAAAGGTAGGAATTTCTGGGCTGCAGTATCCACGAGGACATGCGAGCAGTGCTGTCCTTTCTGCCTTTCTGCAGCCGTCTGGACAAGCCTGGAACTCCCTAGGCTGCAGCACGATTGCCCAGGAGGCCACCACTAGGCTTCTCTTCTCTCCGATGCATGTTGCATTGCTTCTGTGCAACCGGGGTCTTCCCATTCCCCAGGAGGAGATCAGTAGGCAGGGAGGGATATAGGTATATATTAAACGAGAGCAAGAAATGGACATGAGTTGACACAGTGTTAAGCAGAATCGGTAAGAGATACTTATTAAAGAGTGATACTGCAGAATTGGCAGATTAAGGAAAAAAGTTATATCTGAGAATGTGCTTCATCATCTTGCACTGGCGCCTGGCAACGAAGGGCAGAGGAGAAGTAGGCGAGGACAGAGACCTCTCTGGGCCTGGCTGACTCTGCTCCATCTGGAATTAGTGCCTTGGCTCATTAGTGGATCTTGCAAACTTTTATTTCCTGTCTGCCTGGACATTCAGTGCCTGCCAACTCGTCCTGTTCAGCTGGCTTCCCCTGTCCTTTGCTGCCCCCAAACTGCCTATGCCAAAGCATGATCCTTGAGATGAAGATTGGAAGAATCAAATAAAAGCAAGAAGTGAGAGGCTTAACGATACCGTGGAAGCCTGGGAAAAAGCAGAAGAGAAGCAGAACTGTTCTAAGGCTTGTGATGTTGTACCCCACACAGGGCCAACCCCTTCTTCCCTGGGTCTGAGCTGGCAATGAGAATTGTTGCCAGCAGGTGGCAGTGGTGTTCTTCAGGGCCCCCTGCTCACCGCACCTGTGGTGTGCTGGAAATGAGGACTCCCAGGCTCCACCCAGATCTACAGAATCAGATCCCCATTCTAACAAGATCTCCAGGTGAACTGGGTGCACGTGAAAGTTTGAGACGTGCCCCTGGTCAGGGGTTTTCCTTCCAGCTGTCAGCAGATTAGCTCAATATGCTTTTTAAAATGAAAACTTAAAAAAACAAAAAAACTTAATTAGAATGAGGCCCAAAGGTGATTTTCTTTTTAAATAAATAAAGCACATGGATTTTGAGTCTCTGTTTTGCTTCTTCATAGACAATTTTTTTCTTATTTCTTACATCTTGAGCTGTGCTCAGGATTGAAGTGCTCACTTCATAGCTAGGTTTTAAGAAGCTGAGATGCTCTCTATTTGCTTGGCTCTCTTTACTCACTACCCTGATGGCTGACATTGGAATCACTCATGCTCTCCATTTCCCACGATGCTTTACTGATCATAGTTTCAGCTCTGCGCGTGTGCTGAGACCTAGTGCCCTCCTCGTACTGAGATGAAAACATGCTGATAGGAAGATGACATCAATACTACAGGATAGAACTGAGTCACTAAATGTTCAGCATGAGCAATTTATTACTGTCACAGAGGACAGAGATTGGAGGACAAGGAAGAAAAAGAGTGTCCACAGGAATCAATCTACCAATTTTCTTAATTGCTTTGGTTTTCTCCAACATATGATTTTATAGATGAATACTCTGTGCTGTCCAATGCATTAGGCTAGTGTTTCTTAACCCTGGATATGTATCAGATTTGCTTATGCAGCTTCAACAAAGGAAGATGCCCGGGAATCACTCTGGGATGGGCTTCTCAAGGTTTGACATGCACAGAAATCACTTGATTCAGTAGGTCTGAGGTAGAGCATGAGATTTTGCATTTCTAACAAGCCCACAGGTGATGCTGATGTGGTCAACCTGTATCCCGGGTAGGAAGATCTAGGCTGAGGGTGATTCCGTAGGTATGAGCCAGCAATTGGGCATCTTGAGTTTTTAAAAATGTCTTCAGGTGATTCTCCTACATAGCTGGGTTGTGACTCCCAGCCCACAGGTGGCTGACTTGCAACGACTCTCTGAGGGTATCTGCAGGTGATCTCCTTGGCCTGCAACACTCAACTTCGTCTTGGTTTTCCTCTTTTTCCCCTGATCCTTCCTTCCTGGTATCTTCAGGTGGCTTCTCCTCCACCTATTTAGTGCTGAAGTTCTTCAGGTGTAAGCCCTCTTGTTTCCCTTGGTCACCTTTCCTGTTTTCATAACCTTGGTTTTGAATCCTAGCTCATCATCTTCCAACTCTGAATTCCCAGGTGGGCTGCTCCTTCTCAAGTCAGATCTGGGTAGTCAACTGTCTACTAGACCGAATGTCTTGTGGAAGATGGCAGTCAGAAACGATCTCCCTGCCCCCACCTGCCCCATCCTAGTGGTCCTCATGGCAGCGCCCATTATCCCAGTTGCTCAAATCATCTTCGTCGGTTTCCTCTCTCACACCTCCACCTCCAAACCTCTAGATTCGTCCTTCTCTGTCTCCTGAATCTGCCTATTTCTCCGCATTTCCACCTCCAGCTCAGAGCTCTGTCTGCCATCCTGTTCACAGGGCCACTGACCCTGCTGGCAAGGCTGTCTCTTCCTTTAACCTCCTCCTTTGTCTCCTCTTTCCATCCCACCCTGTTGCCATGGTGATGTTGAAAAAATCTGATCCTTTCCCCTTCGTGCACACAGACAGTTTAAATCCTCCATAAGCTTCCCTTTCCCCTTAGAACAAAGTGACAGAAGAGAGGAGATAAATAGATCCAGGGTGGGAGAGAAGGGGGTTTGGGTGGGCTGAGTGTGGAGAGAGGGGAGCAGATCGGATATCACAGCACCTCTGGGTTTCCAGTTGTCAGTTCACTTACTTGCATCTCCCTGGGATACTGAATCCAAAGACTGTGTGCTTAATTCTTCTTTTGGAACAAATCCTGGAAAGAGCAGTAAAACTTTTGGTGACTTACAAGAACAGGAAGCATCTGGCCTTACCCCAGGGATGGGGACATAATGGATATTCACACTCAGCTTGGGGTTCGGGGGGAGGCTTGGCTTAAGGCTGACTGTGCTCTTCTCCACACTGCCCCCGCCTTCAGAGGTAAGAATGAATTACTGACAGCCTACTAAAGACACGGGACTCTCCTGGGTGCTCAGGGGGTTTGAAGTCAGAAGACCAGGGTCTGTTCCCTACTGCCTGTTAACAGAGTCTGAGCCTTAGTTTCCTTACCTGCAAGCAGGAAACACTTGGCCAGTGTAAATTATCCCTCTGTAAAATTCTGAAAATCTCAAGGTCAGGGCATGGGTCTTGCTCATCATGTAAACCTTCACTGTGCCTACCCCATGTAGGTCCTTGGTCAACATTTGGTGATTGAGTCAATGAACAAAGATGGGTGAGACACATGGACAATCTAATGGCGGCAGATATAGACTGAAGGGAGGACCTAAGATCCCCAGTAACGCAAACAAGTAAGAGGGTCCAGAGAGCAATCCCTCCCCTCCACAACCTGAGATTAGAGGTAGAGCTGCAAAAGGGTTTTGTGCTTTGAGAGTGTGCATGCGCGCGCACGCACGTGTGTGTGTAATTTCAGGCTCAGGAGTTTTCTTTAGAGCCATTTACATGGGAGCCAAGTTTACACATGTATCATTTAAGGGATTAAAGACAATCAATGAGAATCTTTTCAGGCTCAGGAAGGCCAGTGAGTTTCTCAGGGAGCACCAGAAGTTGGTCAGTTGGTCTCCCTGTTGTTGGGATGCCCGGGGGCACCCTCCCAGAGGCTCTGGGAGAGGAGGAAGGTGCTGGAGGTTCTGCTCGCTCTTGGCTGCGGTGAGCTTTCTCTAAGTTTGTTAGTTTTTCCAATTTGCCAAGCACATGATTTCATCTTTCCATGAAAGGTCAATCTGCTCATCCCACTTCCTCGCATCATTTTAAAAATTCGCTTTGGGTGTCTAACGGCATTTCTCAGCCAGGAGCCTCTCAGAGAAACTGTCCAAGGCTCCACGTTGGAGGGAGGGGGGAAGAAATGAGAGGCCAGCGTCCTTTCCTCCACCCCGTTTCTCCCTACCAGTAAAATCTGCCCTCAGACCGAGAGCTGGATTTGCTGTTGGAGTTTCAAACACTTAATTCAGTAAAAAGCGAACAACACCCATTCACGTGAAGGGAAAGCTGAATACCCCTCTGCAAAGAAAGAAGGGGAAATAGCAGGAAGTCAGGGTATGCTTCGAGATGGAATGAGCATTGAAGCCTCATTTGGGGGCGAGGAACCCACTCACTCCCGTTGTAGATCTTAGTCTTCACGTTTCTCATTTGTTACCCAATGGACAAGAGTGGCCTCTGCACCACCCACTGGCTTGTCAGACTCTCCTAATTCTGTCATCCTGTGTGTCTCCATCTAGTCATGGCCAGGAGGTTGGGCTGCATAATTACCTGCATCTAAAAGGACCGATCCAGGTTGCCACAAGTCCATTTCCCCTGATTTTCAAAATTAAAAAGAAGCAAACTTGTTATTTAGGTGAAACCAGCAGAAGCTCTCAAATGAACTTCCAGGATGATAACATTTTTCAGTTGTGGCAGAGAGTTCAGTAAAGGAACATGGGACCAGGCTTTAGAAGGCCACCTAAAACCTTTAGGATTTTTTTCTTGGAAAGCTCTGAAAACCAAAGACAGAAACATCTTTGCCTTTTCCATTCTTTCACTGTGCACCAAGAACCATAGAAAATAAGAATCCCAGGATTCGAGGGGGCCCAAAAGCTCACCCAATCCAAACCAATCTCCCCCAGCATGCTTCTACAACATCCCTACCAAGTGACTGCATGGCTGGTGCTTGAATACCTCCAGGGACAGGGAATTCATTACATATTCAACCAAGATAGTACATTCCTTCTTGGACCACTGAGACTGTTAGAAAATGTTTCATTGTATGGATCTGAAATCTTAATCCATCCCTCTATCCACGCTTATGAAGCACCCACTATGTGCCCAAAGTCATTTTAGGTACCTCTGACTTACCCATCTGTTTATGTTCTCTTCCTTAGAACGACACAGAACAAATCTAGGCCCCTTCAGAGGGCAGGTGGTCCCCTCATTTCCTGAGTATCTGCTTCTCACACCATGCCACCTGTGCACTAAATAGCAAAGCGGTGCCTGGCCTTTCAGTAAAGTGTTGAACGCCCCCACTATAAGCTGGTGCTGATAAAGTAGAAGGGGTGGTCGGGAAGGGGTATTCTTACCCTGCAGTCCCTGACGGCTGTGGGGGGATCATGGCCAGGAAGCGCTCAGAGGCAGCACGAATGTGTTATGAAGCCTCAGAAGGACACCAAAAATAGCTGTGTCTCTTCCTCTATCCCTTCTCTGCCCACCTCCCCAGCTCAGAAAGCTGAGGGCCTGATGAGCCCATCAGCTTGGCTGCATGCTGCAATGATGAACACACTCAAAAGAAGTGGTATTTTCCTTCGTATGATGAGTTTGTCAGGCTATTTTGAAAGGCAAGTCTGTGTTCGTGCACATTCTGAGTTCATGGCGAGAACGGAGTTTAATTTGGCTCAGCCATTAACCAGGTGTATGACCTTAAACAAGTCACAGACCCTCTGTGAACCTTAATTTCTTTGGGAATAACATTTGCAGGTTGGGTGAGATGATCTCCCAGTTCAGATTTATGATTAATACGTTTAAACCTTCTGCTTCTGTGTCGCCACCTGCTGGCAAAACACGCCCTTTCCCTAAAAAAACCCCCAAAACAGAACCAAAAAACCAGGGCTGGTGGCATCTCCGTTTTTGCTCCAGGCTCTCAGCCCCCTCGAATGCTACAGAGAATTACAATGCTGGGCATACTTCAGCAGGAGGGAAACAGTTCGCTGACAGCAAGGATCTCCAAGCCCTCATTCCTGTCCTGGGCGCCGGTCCTTCTGTTGGTGCCATTTATATTTGTTTGGGACAAGTATGAACCGAATCGCTTTTCTCCAAACGCCGAGGGCTGACAAATATTTGGACAGCTGAGACTTGGTGTTTTTGGACTTGGTAGTAATGGCACGTCAGTCTGTGGAAACGCTTACATTCTGGCGTCCAGGAGGAACCGGGTGATGGGAGGATGAAAGGCAGGAGGAGGCCCATCCTGTGTCCACCAAACCCTAGCCGGGAGCCTGGGGGGCTCGCCCACCTTCTCCCACCGTAAGTCTTCTCCTGTGTAAAGCTGAGGTCGTAAACACGTGGCCTGCCACGGAGGGAAATGTGTACAAAATCACCCCGAAAGGGGTAAGGCAGTCTTAGGACACGAGCCCTAACGTGTGCGCCGTGCTTGCTCGCTCGTCTCCTCCACACCGTCCGCGACCCGGAGAGACACTGGCTCCGAAGGATTCCCGTGGTAAAGACGTAGAACCACTAACACTGGCGAGAGCGCGCTCAGGGGCAGGCACGGACCATGCCCGTGGCAACGGCAGTCACAATAACCCCGTGACTTGGGTGACAACCACGACCCCGCTTTAGGGGTGAGGAGACCGCTGCAGAGGGCGAGGTGGAGCTGCGCCGGGCGCCGGGCTTACCCCCCACTGTTTATCACTCCGGGAGTCGTCGAGCCGTGAGCATCGCAGGGTGCTGGGTGAGGCCCCGAAGAGACCCCACCTGCGCCACTCCCCGTAACTCACACTAGATGGGACGGCCCGACATCCCGCCTCGGAGATCCTGGTGATGATCTTCGCTCTGGTTGCAGCTTCTCTTCCCCGCCCATCTGGGAGCCACCAGCACAGGACCCAAGCGGGAGCGACGACACACGGCCCTCGAGGCTCTGAAGTCTCATGGGGCGGAGAGAGATTCCCCTGGGGTGCGGGGCTGAGCAGGCGGCCGTCGAGGGGCAGCGGGCCTCCGCCTCCGGGGCGCCGCCGGGGCGCCTCCGCCCCGCCCTCCCGGTGGCCTGGCTTCTGGCCTCGCGCCGCCCGCTTCCCTCGGACGGCTCCCTCTTGCGGACGTGAACCGGCGCGCGTCCGGCCAGCAGCTGGCCGTGGGGTGTCCCCGCGCAGTGGCCCACGACACTGGTCTATCGAGGAGGCTGAGGACCGTCCGAGGTTCTGGCGCGAGCTGTCGTCCCGGCGAAGCATCCACGGTGCTGGGTTTGCACACGGGTTACCCTGCCCATCCGCGGTGCTGGGTTTGCACACGGGTTACCCTGCCCATCCGCGGTGCTGGGTTTGCACACGGGTTACCCTGCCCATCCGCGGTGCTGGGTTTGCACACGGGTTACCCTGCCCATCCGCGGTGCTGGGTTTGCACACGGGTTACCCTGCCCATCCGCGGTGCTGGGTTTGCACACGGGTTACCCTGCCCATCCGCGGTGCTGGGTTTGCACACGGGTTACCCTGCCCATCCGCGGTGCTGGGTTTGCACACGGGTTACCCTGCCCATCCGCGGTGCTGGGTTTGCACACGGGTTACCCTGCCCATCCGCGGTGCTGGGTTTGCACACGGGTTACCCTGCCCATCCGCGGTGCTGGGTTTGCACACGGGTTACCCTGCCCATCCGCGGTGCTGGGTTTGCACACGGGTTACCCTCCCCATCCGCGATGCTGGGTTTGCACACGGGTTCCCTGCCCATCCATGGTCCTGGGTTTGCACAGGGTTACCCTGCCCATCCACAATGCTGGGTTTGCGCACGGGTTACCCTCCCTGCGAGCTCCATGTGAGATACTGGTTTGGGACCTGGCCACCTTTTCTCACGCAAACGACTTTAACTCCATGGTTGGGTTTCCAGGCCAGTGAAGCTTATTTGATCAAACATGGTAGCGTGAAGCCGAATGGTTCTGAGGCGAAGTCACTGAATTCTAACTGAAATTATCAAGGGCACCCCTCCCTCCCTGAGAATCCAGCAGGAACAGCCATGCCCGCAGGGGGTCCCCGTCCCCGCTCAGAGGGCCCAGAAGGAGGGTAGGGTCTGGTGGCAGGGCCTCAAGGGGTCAGAGGACCAGAGGGTGGGACCCTCTACCTGTAGAGGCAGAAGTTCCCGCAGCACAATTCTAGAATCTGAGAATATCCGATTCATCTCTGTAGTTCTAACCCAAAGCACAGTGTCTGACATACAGCATGCTCAGTAAATTTGTATTTTTTAAAATTGAAGAATGGTTCCTCTGCAGTGGGTGTGTGTGTGGGGGGGTGTGTGGCTTACATTGGGGATGTGTGAAGTTACATCAGTGGGCAGAAGGCATAGCGGGAGGGGCAGCAGGAATCATGCATGGGTTTTAAGTCTGGTGTCCTGTGGAGCAGAGGATAAGTATTGAGGTCAATGACAACCTCATTAGGTCCATATATAGCTGCTCGTGTCTGTTAATGGGTTGCCCTAAACACAGATGAGGTATTTAGTGGGGCTCATGAGATTTGGTCCCATGTGGTGTATTTTTATCTGTGACAAGAATAGAGGCAGGTGGCATGTTCATCAATTTTGTGGATGACATGGGGTGCCTGGGTGGCTCAGTTGTTAAGTGTCTGCCTTCGGCTCAGGTCATGATCTCAGGGTCCTGGGATCAAGCCCCGCATCGGGCTCCCTGCTTGGCGGGGAGCCGGCTTCTCCCTCTCCCTCTCCCCCTGCTGTGTTCCCTCTCTTGCTGTGTCTCTGTCTGTTAAATAAATAAATAAAATCTTTAAAAAAAAATTTTGTGGATGACAGAAAAGTTGGAAGGACAGTTAATACACTAAATGACAGAATGAAGATTCAGGAAGATTACAAGAGATTAAACTAAAGGAGAATTTCATAGCGATAAGTGTGATATTCTAAGTTGGGTTCAAAAAACTCAATGGCACAAAGATGGGATTGGTGTGACCCACTTCTCTAGAAGAGCAAGAGAAAATGTCCTGGTGGCTTGAGTTATTGCCAGTTCAGGAGGAGATGAACGGATGGGCTGACAGGACTTCTCCCAAATGCAACTTGGGATGTTTTCATAGAGGCGGGATATTTAGGCTGGGAGAGGTAGTTCCCGGGCACACAACCCTCGTGGGATTGCATTCTGCTCTGGGTGCCCTGCTCTGCGTCACTCACAGACTGTAGTGTAGCTAACGGATGTACCGCTGGCCACAGAAGGACCTGTGGGAGGAACTGGAGAAATTTACCCTAGAAAAGATGGGACCTAAACGTGGACATGAAAGCTCCTTTCACATATTTGAAAGGCTCTCAAATTCATGCTCTTAAAAATGACTGAAGATCCCAAAGGGCTGTTGTTTGTGGGGGTCATAGCTATTGTTTTTATCATATTAAAAATGGATGTGTTCTTTCATCTGAAACAGAATATTAACTATTTCCCATTTAATGATAGAGCTGTTGTGTTTTAACATATTTTTTATGAGAAACAGCTGGTTTTTTTAAAAAAACAATTCGGTGAGAAGAGTGACAACTTTCTTCAATGTCTGGCATAACAGAGGACATACCGAATCTGGTATCTGTTCCTCAGTCTGTGTGATATGTTGTTTTGGTTCAAGTACACAAAGAAAATCTGGCCTCACAAAGTTGTGCGGTAGGAGAAGGGAGAACCTTACAGAATCCCTGGAAGCAAGGTCCTCAGAAAACACTTTGAGAAGCTCCAGTTCAAACAAATTAGGATCTGTGGGCCTGAGTTCTAGAAAGTTCTGTCTAACAGTGATGGAGCTGGGAAACCCCTGACCGCTCACTCAAAGTTCTCTGACACTGGCAGAAGCCTCTATCTGGCATGCCCCAAAGGATTTATTTGTTTGGTTTCGAATGAGACCAGAGGTACTTCATGCAATTCTTCCCAATCCCATATTTTCAAGATTTTCTAGCCAAAAAATTGGATGACTTGCCTGATAGGCATGATTGTCTCTGAAGGGAGAGCCGGCAGAAGGGCATCTAAGTGTTCTGACCTGCCTTTACTCACAGTGTGTGAGTGGCTTCTGTCCACCTGCAGGAGCCCCAAGGAGGCTGCGGGACTAGTGAGGTCTGGGCGCCCGCGGGCTAGGAGGTGCTCCCGAGGCCAGGGCTCTCCGGGAGTGGGTGGGAGGCTCAGAGCAAAGTGTCGGGGATGATGATGGAGGGAGAGGAGCAGCAGAAATGGGTAGGATTTGAGGGTTCATAGGGAGCTGGGAGCATCTGTGAGGCTCAAGGAGATAGAGCATATGGGAGTGTGAAGGAGAAGAGAAGGCTCAGAGCTAGAGGACCAGAGGCAGTAAAGTTCGAGACAGGGAGTGGGATCAACCGCAAGTAACCTTGGGTTGTTGGCAGTGACAAAGAGGAGCTGGAGAGCAGATAATGTGCCTTGCTGCACCCACCCCCTGAAGCACATCTGATTTGCGGTGGTGTATCTGGGTATTTGAGCTCAGTCTCCGAAGTGGGTCCTGGGCTGTGCAGGGTGGGGGCACAGCCACCCAGCTGGGGACCTCTCAAACCAACCCGGCCCGGGAACACTATTGGGTGTCCCGACTGCCAGAGATTTTCTCTCTGACACACTGAGAACAGACAAAGCAAAGAGACATTTTCTGGAGGTGAAAACACCCTGGCCTGCCCCCAAGCTCTGGTGACGTGGAGATGAGCTGCCGAGGCTAGCCGCGAGTGTGGAGGGAGAAAGGTGTTTGCCAGTCCGGTGGAGCCGGGGCGGTAAGCAGCCGGCAGCTTCCCGGGGTTGACCTGTGCTCTGGCAGGTTTCTGGAAAGCAGCTCGGGGAGAATCCGGACTTTGGATACCTGACGGGATGACACAGCACCAGCTGATTCACATGCCACCTGCAAGCTGCTCTCTTCTGGTTCCGCTTTTCCTTGGAAGTTGGTCAAGCTATCTGTGGTTGGCTCTCCTTTTGGGGGTTGTGGAGGAGGCAAAGATCCTAGCCATGGGGACAGGAGGAGGGAGTGCCCTATGCTTGGCTGCCTGAAGAGTCCCACAGGCCTGTTGAAGGTTGGATGGCCTTGGAGTACTTGCTTTGCCCAGCGATCTGATTCTTAAAACCCTTTGTCCAGGACACAGCGTGTCCTTTGGCAAAGGTACAATTGTGCAGCTCCTATCTGGGGGCGAGTCCTGTCTGGGGGCTCCCATGGAGCCCCTGCTCTGATCCGGTATCAAAGCCAAACAGAACCTACAGTCCCCAGGAATCTTTTAACCTGCAGAGGACAGACTGGTATCCCCCAGCAAGAGTAAAGCCTGAACTCTTTTCCTTGGGAGGTCCAGACCTGCCCCCCCCTCCCCCCTGGCAGTGCCTTATGGCTGCAAAAGGTATTGTGTCCTTCTACCAAGTGTATCAGCTTGTGGCCCAAGCCCTGAGCAGAGTTTGTAGAAACCATCCAGCCTTGCTTGATTTTTCCTTTCTAATCTCTGCAGGCCTCACGGGCATTGCAGAGAAGAGAACTTGCCTCATCCCTCTGCAATGCCAGTGTTTCGGCCAAGCCTTTTAGGGATGGATGCACACAGAAATGAAGAAAGGAGAGTCGGGAGTGTCATAATTCATAGAATTCCTGGAGGCGAGAGAATGCGTTTCTATTCCCCATATCAGAGAAGCACCCAACCGAAGTTGGCCCTGCCCTTTCCTAGACAATGCTAAAAAATGTTCTCTTTCTTTTACCCTAGTTCCTCAAGCACATACCCCAGAGAGTATCCCTTTTCAGCTTTATAAGAGCCTAGTTACTGAATCCTTAGGAATTTCCATCACAACCTCCACAAAATTGCCTGGAGGGAATGACAACTGGTGAAAGCCTTGCTTATTTAATGGCTCCCTTGTTTTCCTTTCAAGTTTCCTTACAAGTGGGGCCCTTGAGCAGTATCCTCTGTTGGAATCACTAGTTTAAGGCTCTCTGTCCAAATCTAAATCAAATGGCAAGGATCTGGGAAGACAAACGCCATAGAAACACGCTGGACTTCCACCAGGAGCTGGAAAGGTGAGTTCAGGTCCTTACCTGGACTGGCGTGGCCGCTGTTCTGGCTGCTTGCGGGAGAGCTGGGGGACCAGCGATCTGTAATAACATTGCACTGGTCAGAGCATGAATTTTAATCTGTTCTCATTCTTTCCATGATCCGACCTAGCAAGACATTACCAACCAAGGTCAGAACTAAGGTAAAGCTTTGTCCTTGGGTGGTCTGAATCTGCCCCAAGGAGGCCCTGAAATGGAAAAAGAAGGGGAGTGGTGGTGGGGATTTAACTCAAAATACTGACTGAAAATTCCAGGTACTAATAACCCCTGTATTTCACAATTGTCAAAGTAAGTATCTTTTGCTAAAGGGCCGTATTTTTTTACACTTCATTATTCTTACAATAATTCTCCTCAACTGTGCCACTCCTGAGGAGGCTAAAGTAATCCTTCAGTAGTAATGTCACTTAACATTTCACAGTTTGCTCAAACGGCGTTAACATGGTATTAATGCAAATAGCATTAGCTTTCAGTCATCTTAAAGGTACACAATGGGTTATCTATGGTGGCGCCTGGATGGCTCAGTCGTTAAGCGTCTGCCTTCGGCTCAGGTCATGATCCCAGGGTCCTGGGATCGAGCTCCACATTGGGCTCCCTGCTCAGCGGGAAGCCTGCTTCTCCCTCTCCCACTCCCCCTGCTTGTGTTCCCTCTCTCGCTGTGTATCTCTCTCTGTCAAATAAATAAAATCTTAAAAAAAAAAAAAAGGTACACAATGGGTTATCCTTAATTACTTTGTGAGAAAATCAAATACACTTCAGCATTCAGTATTTATCGGGCAATTTCTCTGAAGCAAGGCTTTAAAAGGGACGCAAAGTCCGTTTTGGGGGAAAGGGAACCATGTGAAAAGGAGCTGAGGGAAAGAACCAAATTTCACAGAGGGGAAGAGATAGAAGGTCACGGAACAGTATCAGTTCCTCGGAAAGCCGAATCTATCCACAGTCAACGTTTCGCTCCCTTTGACTTTGTTCCAATTATCTGAATACGGACTCCAAGTAGCTTTGTTTTCTCTCCAATGGTAAAGAGAACACGTGCTCCCTGTAAAAATACGTACCACGTATAGTAAGAACTCACCTGCAATCCTTCTATCCTGCAGCTACCGATACGCAACCATGGCGTAAAGGTATTGTGTCCTTCTACCAAGGCGACACAAGTCGCCTTGTCGCCTCCTTCTTTGACCGAACAGTCTGTCACAGGCCAACCTCATGTCAGTAAGTGCACATATGCACCAAAATGTTAATAGCTGTGTGGTAATCGCTCTAACCATTCTGATGGTGGACAACTGAACCGCTGATCTTTATTTTTCTATGAGGAACAACACCTGTGTCCAGGCTCCTTCTCACCCTCAGATGATAATTACCTTAGGATGTACTCCCGTAAGTGCGAATTCTGGGTCGCTTCCACTGTGCCTTGCCTGGTCATGACCTTCCCCCATTTTTCTATGGGAAGGTTCCTCTTTTTCTTGCTATTTGTAAGATTGGATTTTAAGAAAACAAGATAAACTTTCAGAGAGGAGATCAGTGTTGGCGAGAAGGGAAATCGCCTGTGGGGGGCGGGAAGGGCAGTTGGAGATGCTGGTCTCCCTCCGCCTCCCTGGAAAGGTGAATGCCCACAGCCATCCGCATGCCTTGCCACTAGGTGGCGCTCTGCTCCCCTCCTTGGTCTGCCCCTTCTTTGTGGACAGACGTAATCAGTTAGGTCTCCCGAGGCAACTGTGGCACTTCTTGGAAGGAGCCTGACTAGGAAAATAATGCCCAGCAAAGCAACCCCACCCTTGGAAGCCTGTGGTAGATTTAGCTGACCCTGCAGCAGGCCTTTTCCAGAACTCTTTCTTCAGCATACCTGTGGATCTGTTTCTACAGGAGGCCCCCTCTGGCCCTGGGATGCGGCCCTGCAGCTGCCCAGCTCCCGGTGGTGCCTGTGTAGTCCTTGGCATCTCCCATGACGAACAGAACAGCCTCGCTCTTGTCCCTCCGAGAGGTCTCTATCGCTCTGGCTCTTGGCTCCCCTACCCCCAGCCTTGACTTGTTCCGAGCTATCTTGTTAGGTTTACCCATTCATGGGTCAGTTAAGAGGTGTCCAGCCCCATCTTCCTTGTTCTTCCACCTGTATCAGCTCCTCTCCCTGGGCCGGGAGAGCCCCTCTCTTTTCCGGCTACGAAGTTTCCACTTTCCACTAGACTCCCTCCAAGTTCTTATGTTCTGTGTGAGCGGCAGCTCTTTATCTCGTTGTAGAGCAAAGAGGACTCACAGACCCCAAATGCAGATTGTTCCTGTTCTGGCTACACACTTCTAGGTGTCTAGAGCTGAAGCGACCTGTTGCAGGGATCTCGGTACAATGTGTTCCTACGTGTGGCCCAAGATCCCAGAACAGTGGCCTGACACATCGTAGGCAGTCAATAAATATTTGTTGACTGAATAAATAAATTAGCTTTTACTTGGCCACCCCATCCACAACCAACTTCTAGAATCTTTTGACTCTAGTCACATATAAAAAGAGAGGGGAAAGCCCTTAATAAATGTAGTAACAACAACTCACTTGTCTATCAGTAGTAGAAGAGTTACTCTGTTAGAGTTGGCAGAACATTCTCAATTCATTTGAAGAAGAAAAGGGATTATCTGTGCACTAAATATTATTTAATTTAGTTGGGCTAAAATATCACAGCAAGTATCTATGGCCATACATTAATATAGGCATTCATGAAAGTAGATGGGCGATTACCTGGGGCTGGGGAAGGAGGGATTAGTTCATGGGCACAGGGTTTCTTTTTCTTGTTCTAGAATCAGTCACGGTGATGGTTGCACAACTTGGTGATTACTAAGAACCACTGAATTGTACACTTTAAATGGATGAATTGTATGATACGTGAAAAGTATCTCAACTAACTGTTATTAACAAAAAGACATAGGCCTTCAAACACCCATTTTCACTTCTCTTCGTTCCTACAGAAAATCCTTTGAGTTGGCAATATCATTTTTTTCTCGCCCTCTGTCCCCTCCTCCCCGCCCAGTTTGGCCCCTTTCTTGGCAGCTACGGTGGATGTGGGCCGGAGCCCTCGCTCTGACTGTTTGCCTGGCAGTCTGTGGGGTGGCCTGGGCGCGGGGGCTGGACGAGGTTGAAGAGGGAGGCCGATGGGCTGGGAGGCTGCCGGCCAACGGCCCTGTGCCCCGGCCAGGAATAATGAGACTGTGCCAGGGTGGGAACCACAACCTGAGGTGGTTGAGGTTTCTACAAGCAAGGCCCAATGTGTCCCAGGATTTCCAGGCTCCCAGTGTAGCCAAATAAATATGCCACATGTTTAATTATATGTGTTATGTAAAAATCGACCTCCTCCAAGGAGGCCCCAGGAGCAAACAACTTACTCAAGTCCTCTGAAGTCTTTGAAAGAATTAAGGTCTCTAAAAGTCAAGAGCCTGAAGTTCAGAAAGAGGAAAACTCTTCGCTGTGGGGCTCCCTCATCCAGCGTCCCTTCCTTCCTTCCTTCCTTCCTTTCCTTTCTTCCTCCTTCCTTCCTTCCTTCCTCCTTCCTTCCTTCCCTTTCTTCCTTCCTTTCCTTTCTTCCTTCCTTCCTTTCCTTTCTTCCTCCTTCCTTCCTTCCCTTCCTTCCTTCCTTTCCCTTCTTCCTTCCTTCCTTTCCCTTCTTCCTTCCCTTCCTTCCTTCCTTCCTTCCCTTCCTTCCTTCCTTCCTTCCTTCCTTCCTTCCTTCCTTCCTTCCTTCCTTCTTCCTTCCTTCTTCCTTCCTTCCTCCCTTCCTTCCTTCCTTCCTTCCTTCCTTCCTTCCTTCCTTCCTTCTTCCTTCCTTCCTTCCTTCCTTCCTTCCTTCCTTCCTTCCTTCCTTCCTCCCTCCCTCCCTCCCTCCCTCCCTCCCTCCTTCCTTCCTTCCTTCCTTCCTTCCTTCCTTCCTTCCTTCCTTCCATTCATTTCTCTCACTGGCAGGCACTCTGAGCCTGTGCTCTGGCCGCCGGCCGGGGTTACACAGGAACGGGATGGGGGGCGTGTCCTATGTATTCCAGACAGTATTTTTATGGTATTTTTATTTGGGGACTTTATATCATAGTTTCTTCCATGGGTCGTTCATTGAACGGCTTGATAATACTCCTAGATTCGCAGAGTCATTAGGAACATTGAATAAAGGGGTGCGCGGTGTGCGGGGCCCGGGGAAGCCTGGACCGACCTGCATTCCACTGTTGTTGTTACTCATCACAGCGGGAGTTGGTGGTGCCCAACGGCCTGCTTCTGCGACGGCCTCATCCGTGCCTGGGCGCTCGTGGATGGCAGGGGCGCCTGCTGCAGGCCAGTCACAGGAGACCCCGGCTGCTGGGGGCTCTGCTTCTCAGCTGTGTGAGCTGGGCGGGCTTGCTCACAGCCCTGCTGCCCCGGTTCCTCACCAGGACGAGGGATTAGTCACAGTAGAAGTCGTCCATCCACTGTGATCTACTGCAGAGGGCTGGTATGAGGATGTCCTAGGCGAGTGTTTGTAAGGTGCTTCAAAGAGTGTCTAGCGCCTAGCAAGTGGTGATATTATCAGAGAAAAGGATGAATACATGGCTGGGCTCTGATACGTATGGGAGGGGGAAGGGCCATGCTGTGTGGCGGAAATGTCTGGAAGCTGGAGGTGACGCTGAAGACAACAAGACCCCGGCACCTCCTCCTGGAAGGAAAAAATGGCCCCAGGTGGGAGATATTTAGAAAGGCCTGCTGAGACAGAAGTGTCACTCTTGTTGCGGAATTTTCCAGGCTCTTGCCAGAAGATATTTACAAGTGAGAGGGGTGCTTATTAGCCTTGGGCGGCTGGCATATAAGCCTGTGTAGAAACTAGAGATGGGGTTCTCAGATGAGCTCTTAAGGTCCTGTTTGATGTACTACCGAGATTAATTTCATAAAATGGACTTTGGTAAAAGCTAAAGCATGACTTAAGAGATGGATGCATAAAAAGCAATCAGAAAAGGAATAAAAATGTAGCTCTCTGGTTTTCCTTATAGGAGTTTTGTTTTGTTTTGTTTGCTTCTAATATTTGGAGACTTCCAGGAATATACAATGTGTCACTTAAAACCCAACAGTATTTCCACTGAAACCACTATTCCTTCAGCTGAGCTCTTGGAGAAATGAGGATTTTGCAATAGGAAGCTTTTGTGTAATATTCTACCTTCCACAGTCCCACTCTTGAATCTGTCTTCAGTCCCTTCTACATGGTTTGCTTAGCTCATAGCTTGGTCCTGAATTAGCATTAGGCTCAAGCCTACCCCTTGAGTCTGGAAGGACACAACCACTCCTGGCCCAGGTCTTAGCACGAACCCTCACCCAGCTCAAAGGGTGGGAGATGGGCACTCCACACAAGCATTCAGAAAGCCCAGTCTCCTACTTTGCTAGCACATGACAACACACAGTCTACCTACTGACCCAGCTCCCAGCTCCTGTGGCCCACAGGCTGTGGTCTGAGGCTGCTGGTGGTAGAACCTGTGGATGGGGATGGCTTTGGCAGGCTGGTGTGGGTGGCTTCGGTGGCCGGGGCTCCCGTTACCTGCATCAGGGTGACCGGCTGTGCGGTTGCTCCTGGGACTGGTGGCTTCTGATAGGCTTTTGTCGCCTCACCTGTAAAAGAGATGAAATGATACTGGGGCCTACAAAATCGTTGGTAGGCTCTTGAGTACAGAAACAAAATAAATGTTTATTGAATGCTAGCTTTGAGCAAAGATCTGTGCTAGCTGCTGTAGAGGATAAAATCCACCTGTCTGAAAGGAATGTACAACCTGGATGGAGCAATGAGCCAATAAACAAACCAAACACTAAATAACAATAAAATATTTAAACAATTTTTAAAAATATTTAAATACAGCAACATAGAGAGGGTAGAACTCGATTAACGGTGAAATTAATTTGCCAGACGCCAGAAGCAATGGTTCATGAACTTTCTTTTTCTTTCTGTCTTTCATCCTCCTTCCTTCCCTCCTTCCTTCTGTGTCAGTTAGCATTGACCTAGGGATGGAAGGAACCCTTGGGGCTTTCTCTATGATTGACTCTTAGAGAATGCATTCTAGATGTTCTAGCTTAGATTGGTTCATGGCTAGTCAACTAACTCTTCTGGGTCCCAGTTTTCTGGGGTGACAGAAATAATTAGATGGTAAGGATCATCTAGATTCTACTTCTAAGTTGGGCTCTTCATTCATGTGTAATTATTTAGATTGTTTCCACGATTTTAAACAAGTCTCAATTTATTAGTATTCTGCATGCCCTGATAGTTTCTCTGAAGGTTCAGGGCAAGGGGACAAATGGCTACCCAGTGGGCATTGGCTATTGAATTGACAGCCATGGGTCTGTGCCAGAAGGAGACACAAAATGGCCCCCAAACTGAACAGTGCCCCAGTCCTGGGAGGGAAAAACAGCCACCAGTTACATGGGTCTCCTGAGCCCCATGGCAGGTACGCCAGGTACAGAAGCTGCCTCTTCCATTGTCTGGCACCTGCTGGCATTCCTTGGCGTGTGGCCACCCCCTTCCAGGCTTCACGGCCGACATCCTCAGGTGTCTCTCTGCTCCATCTTCATATGACCTTCTCCTCCATGTGTATCGGATCTCCCTCTGTCCCCCCGCCCCAGACGATTCAGGATAACCTCCCCATCTAAAGAGCCTTAACTTAATCCCATCCACAAAGCCCCCCTCCCTCTCCCTGTTGGTGTTTTGCCAGATACGGAAGAATCCACAGATTCCAGGGACTAGGACAGGGTATCTTTGGTCGGGGGACATTTTTTCAGCTTACCCACCGCATCCTAGCTCTAGCTTTTGACTCTGCTTAGGGCTGATGCATCTCTGGTGCACAAAAAAGCAGCCAAGAAGACCGCATGTGAGATGAGAAGGCGCTGCACGCTTCTGTGAACCACCCAACTTCCCCTTTGACACGGTACAGCACACGGGGAAAACGGCGTCGGCCCTGTGGCTGCGGACCAGCCACGCGGACAGACGTGTGGCGGGGCATGTAGACTCACTACCCAGCACTGGCATCTGGGCATTTGTCACCCTGCCGCCGCCACCTTCTGCAGGGATCACAGCAGTGACTCAGGACAGCAGGCCGGCCGACGGTGCCCTGGGCACGGGTGGGAGTTTGGCCCTTCAGTCTGCTCTCACGGGCATTGGGCCATTGGGGCAGGAGACGGATCTCTCGTTCACCCTGTTGTTGCTAACAGTGGGTCACCTTTAAACCTGCCTGTAGACCGTGCCAGACAAATTGCTAAAGAGCTGGCAGTGGCCTTGGGGGTTCAGCCAGTCTTCACGCCATCCTTGGGCAAGACAGAACCTGTGTGATTTATGACATTTCCGTGACTTCAAAGGCAGTGAGCGTTCATAACAAGTCCTAGGGAAGTTTCTAATTTCTCCAAAATAGTCTTCTGTCTCACCCTCCGGTAAATGCCATGAAGCATTAGTGCCTTGGCAGGGGGATGCAGGCCCAGGTTGGGCCTACTTCATAAAGGGAAAAGCCATTTAACAGAACGACTTGTATATTTTATGAAATAGGATGAAATTATTAATTTGGAAAGCAATATATAAAACCTACAGTACATTTTACTTGCAAATTATTAATTAAACCATAATTAAATTAAAAAACAAAACTTCTAGCAATAATGAACATTTTTGCCACCTTACACTTACTAGATATTGAAGTTATGAATTATTTTTTTATCACACCATTGCATAATTCTGAGGTTTCTAAATACCCCCAGTCTTCCTTTACTAATACTGATTGCTGGAGAACAGATTAAATATCCTGATGACAGCCATTTGTGTTACTTGCTTAAAACAGATACTTTCAAGCATGTCATCAATTCAACCAACAGGTCCATCTCTGGTTTTCCATGGTCTCCCACGGGCTGTTGTTTCTGCTTGCTCTCCTGCACGGAATAGAACTGTCTTTAAGATGAAGAGAGAAAAAGCTCTACCCCAATTGCTCCCGATTCCTTACTGAACGTAATGCTGGATGTGACCCAAAATGAATTCTTCATAGTACCTGGTTCCTTTTGAGCAAATTAAAATGAAACCAATTGGGGCACCTGGGTGGCTCAGTTGTTGGGCGTCTGCCTTCAGCTCAGGTCATGATCCCAGGATCCTGGGATCGAGCCCCACATCAGGCTCCCTGCTCGGTGGGAAGCCTGCTTCTCCCTCTCCCACTCCCCCTGTTTGTGTTCTTTCTCTCACTGTGTCTCTCTCTGTCAAATAAATAAGTAAAATCTTTAAAAAAAAAAATGAAATCAGTAAAATAGTTTCTCCATATAATCTCAAATACATGGAAGTTTCATGGAAATCTTTTCAAAGATTTTCATGGGAAAACATATAAAAAACTTCCTTTAGGCTGTTAACATATTACTCTTTGGATGAGGTCATGAACAGTTTTTTTTTTTTTTTTTAAGATTTTATTTATTTGAGAGAAAGAGAGTGAGAGAGAGCATGAGCAGAGGGAGAGGCAGAGGGAGAAGCAGAATCCCCACCGAGTAGGGAGCCCAATGTGGGGCTCGATCCCAGGACCCTGGCATCATGACGTGAGCTGAAGGCAGACACTTAACAGACTGAGCCCCCAGGCGCCCCGAGGTCATGAACAGTTGTAGACAACTACCTTCTCAGCAGCAGTAGGAGGTCCTCAGAGCTCCCTACACTTGATTCATCATTAGATCATAGTGTTAAAATGCAGGCCCCAGGGCCCTAACCACATAGATTCTGATTCACTGGATCTGGGATGGGCATTGGAAATCTGATTTGAGAACCGCCAGGCAATGTTAGACTGGACTTCTGACTTCAGCTCTCACCAGCTTGGCCACTAAAGTTCTTTGAGCCTGGCTTCCTTTGCTGAAAAATGGGGATGGTTGGACCTACCTGGCAGGGCTGTTGTCATAGTTAGAGATCATGTCTGCTTGCCACGTGGTAGGTATTCGAGCAATGGCAGGAGCTGACGTTTGTCATCATGTTATGTCACACGTCTCCTTGCCCCAGTGGAAAACAGTGCTTTCAGCAGGTGCCAAATGTGAGGCGCCATGAAAAAGACACTGAAGCCAGTTTAACAGCAATGCCTGGAGGTCGGAGTGATGGGGGAGGACTTGGCTTTTCCCGCCACTAACTCACTACAGGCCTCAGGATTACACACAGGGGCAGGAAATCTAATATTCATTGAGCATCGACTATGTGCCAGACAACTGTGACAGCCTCTTTTACATAAGCATTCACATTTGATATTAAACACAATCCTGGAAGCCAATCCAAGAATTCCCATGTATTCCAAGAGGTCAAGGAATGTACATAAGGTAGCAGAGCCAGGATTTGGACCCACATTTGTTTGATTCCAAATTCTGTATGTTTTTCCTCAAAAGGGGAACAAAGTGGAAGGCAAGTCACAAATAGCCTCAAGATTCCTGAACGTGGTTCCCATCAGAGGGTGGCCCAAGACCACTGTAGAGTTCTGGTGGAAACTGTCTTACTCTCAAGACCGGGGCAGGGGGTGGTCTTGGTGGGGATAGACAGCGAGGGCAGGAGGTTCTTAGGAAATCAAACATATCATCATAAACTTCAGCTTGATTTGCCTCCGGAGGGAGGGGCTGGGCCGATGACCAAAGGGAACCAGGAGGGGGGTTCTCCTGCCACTCTTGCTCAGCAGCCTCTAATAAAGATTTACTTTCCTTTTTCTTTTACTGTAACGCCAGCAACGTGCCTTCTTGGGTTTGATGAGCTTCTACAAACCAACACTTACCTGTTTGTATTTAGCTCAGAGTAGCCTGAGACTCTAGCCAAGTAACAGCTGCCTGCATGATGGTTGCTAACTGCCTGGGGAAACAGCATTTAAGTCTTAGGAATGTCCATCCTCCACAGGAGCTGCACCAGGCAAATCGAGATGCTTTTGATTTTTATTTTTTGAAGGTGCTTTCTACTTTTTTGAGTGAGATATTTTCCTGTGGAAGAAGGTTATTATGCTTTGAGGGGGTCATCCTAACCTGATTTACCTGTTAACTCACAGTCTTGGACGGATTAAGAAGCATTTTATAGGGGCATGCCAAGACCGGAGGAACCAACTGCTGGCCCTCACGTCTTCATCTCATCTGCTTCCCCCACTTTCTGTAGGAATTTTATCATTTGGGTAGCCACAAAGGGGGCCACCTTTTTACGGTTCTCACTGGGATTTTTTTATTTGAACTGGTGAAAGCTTACTCTTTAATGAGACTATAATTTTAAGGAGCAGTTCCTCTAGAAGCTGGGCGAGACCCCAAGTATCCCTTTTATGTGTATGTTGGAAAGGGATGTTTATCCTTTCTCTTTGTGTGGGAAATCAAAGTGCCCCCAAAGACAATAATGCATAGCTCAGCTCCCGCTTTAACACAGAAACCTAGGAAAAGGTATTTTCCTTGTCTGCGGTCCACCTGTACTCCGTTTGTGGTTCACAGGAAGCTGGATCCACACAACCTCATAAACAGTGTATCTTTGGCTTGGGGTATTTCCATGAGTTGCTTTCTGTGAACACATACACCACACCATCCCCGTTGCTTCCCTTCATTTCCTACTTGAGCAGAGACAGCGTTTTCCCTCTCAGCGGCCAGGGGACATTTCTAGACAGAATGTCCTGTCATCTTCTTCTTTTTTTTTTTTTAAAGATTTTATTTATTTGACAGAGAGATAGAGAGAGCACAAGTAGGCAGAGCGGCAGGCAGAGAGAGAGGGAGAAGCAGGCTCCCCACAGAGCAGGGAACCGGACGTGGGGCTCGATCCCAGGACCCTGGGATCATGACCTGAGCCGAAGGCAGACGCTTAACTGACTGAGCCACCCAGGCACCCCTGACCTGTCATCTTCTAAAGCAACAATACAGTACAATCTAAGGCAGCCGTCATCCTGAATGCAAATGACACAAACATAGATGTCATCTTGGAATTGCAAAAACAAAACCCAAAACCAAGCATCATCCTTCAGCCTAGCCATCTGATCCCCTTGATTTCTGTGCCCATGTTCTTGGCACCTGTTATAATATTGCCGGAGTCAATGGAGCTTGACCAGTTAAGATGTTAATTTCTATACTACCTCCTAAAACACGTGTTTATAAACTCGGAAGGTTTAGATGAAATCACACGTGAACACTTGCCTGTTTTGGCAGGGGGGCTTTTCGTTGATGAATATGTAAGAGCCGATGGGTAGGTTACACCCTTTTGGGGTTTACTTTCTGCAAAAAAGAAAAAAAAAAGGAAAAAAATGATTTATTTCTAGAGCTAGAAGTTTTAGATGGTTCTGTTCTGGTAAGTTGATTCCCTCCTTCCTATTTATCTCTCTGGAGTTCAATAAATCCATCAGTCTCCCCTCCCCCCCCCGGTGAATTGTTGATTACAATAAGAAAGTCAAGAGATGTTTTGTTTTCCTATAGAGCTTGTGTTTTATTAATATTAGAAAGGAAGCAATAAAATGTCCATGACTCAGAGTTCCCATTAGTAACCCTTATTCTGCTCATGAAGATGTGACATATAAGCTAAGGTTTTCATACATGTGGTGTTGAATGTTGAATTAGGTCAGTAGATGGATGTAAAAACACTCCCCACGCTCTCCTTCTGGACGCCCCAGAGCTCTGGTCACAGGCTAGCCTTGCAGAATAGCTCTCTTTCCCTTTCACGGACCCAGTGGGATCCATTTGAATTCCATGGCACTAGAGAAACCTAAAAGTAGGTTTCAAAATAAGCATTTGTTGCCCACCTAGGGAAAGAGAGTTTAGAGGCCAGATGAGGAGAAGAAATGTTAATATGTATCAGGGCAACAAGGGAGGCATAAAAAAGAAAAACGATCAGGTGATCGGGGCTGGATAAGGAGGTACCAAGCCTGATAGGACTGAAAATTGCCTGAGAAGGCTGCAGTCTACAAAGCCTCCCTCCACCAGGAAATGATGCCTGACATTCCACCACAGGAGTTTTGCTCCACAATGAGATGGAAAGTGTCAGTTGGGATACAGAAGCCTCCCCTCACCCCCGAAGGTGGGGGATCCGTCTCACTTGGTAACTGTTGGATCAGCATCTAGAGCAGTGTCTGCAATGTAGGAGATGCTCAATAAGTATTTATTCAGAAAAGGAATACCTTAATGCTTAGATCTCTGTTACAACTCAGAGGGGTCTCACCTGTTATCTAATATTTACATCTGATAAGGAAAGAATTTTAATGTACAATCTAAGGAAGTAGTTTTATAGGATAGGCCTGGGGAGGAGACAGTGAGGAGTGTTGTATGGAGAGCCTGAGGGGTGGAACAGAATCTAGAGCACGATTTTGCCAAAAGCCCTATTGATACAAGGGATTGCAGAGTCAGGAAGCAGACGGAATGACAGGGGCTCAGAAAGGGCCTGGCATTGGGAATAAGAACCTCTAGGTTTCTGTTCCAATTTGCCATTAATTAGCTGCCTCAATCACTGAGACTCTCATTTTTCTCATTCGGGAAATATGGACAACGATATAGGCCAATTTACTACATTAGGTTGTAGGGATCTAATGAAAAAAAGAGTTGAACTCTTTTGGAACTATATGTTACCAGAGAGATGTGAAGATTCTATGCTGACATTACCTATAAATATCACTCAAAGTGGTGATGAGGCAAAATGTTTGGGCTTATGGAGTTATTTCATCTCATTCAAGTCCCCCCCGCCAGCCCCGGGGGAACAGAGCTTGGCATTTCCAGGTCCCCCACCCTTGTCTGGGCCGCCTCCAAACGACAGTGATTGAGGTTCTTTCGGACCCAAGGAGGGCCCCATGGCTGCAGGCCTCACTTTATCAACAGAGCGCACTGCAGAGACATCATCTCCCTCTGTTTACTCTTCTTGCATCTGAAATCCTCTGGTTCTTTCTGCTTCTATTCAGAAGGAAAAGGAACATGAGCTCAGTTTTCTGAAATGTGGATCAAAGAACAAATGGGCCGTATTAGGAGGTCCCTCTCTGACCTTGCCTATCCCTGGACTGTCAAAAGATTGTGCTGACCAAAAATGCACATCCCAGGTCCTGCTCCCGTCCCCGCCCGCCAAAGTGAATTAACTAAAAGCACAGTGATCTGTGAAAATTAGAAATAAAAACCTAGAGAGAGGTCACGGAGGCACCTGAGCCCTCAGAGGAGGATTCGGACCCAATCCAGCTAAACTTGAGCCCCCAGATAGTGGGGAACAAGCCTTGGCTACTGGCCAGTCAATGCCCTTATGCTGCAATGAGCTCTCCCTGTTCACCCATTCGGAAGAGGCTCCTAGCCGTTGCAGAAGCACACGTTTGTTATAATTGGCAAGAAGCGTTTTGGTTAAATGTCACTACGTGAAATGAGGGGACACGGAAGTTGAGATTTATAGGGAATAATCTCAGCAGACTGATTTTCATTTACAAAACTCGAAACATCTCTACTCTCTTGGAGTTAATTTTTCTTTTTAAACCTCTGTTGGGATTCTTGAATTGCAGGCTATGCACTTAAGATTGAAACATTCTTACTTAGCCAGGAGCAACTTGGTAAACACCTATGTAGAGATTATATTTCTCTCTATATTTGACACATTTGGATTCTAGATATTAGCATTTTCATATGGCCCCTATTCTGCATTCTCTCAGATGTTTGATGACTTTCCACTATCTGGCATAGAAACCCATTTAATTTGAGCCCTGGGTGTGCAGAATTCTGCAGGCAAGAGGAAGCAGGGACTGCTCAAGTTGTGAAGAACCCTAAAAGGTCTCTTTGTAGTTCTGTTAAAACTCTGGTCCATGGAGGGTAGTAGGAGTTGGGGCTTGGGACACATAAAGGTACCAGAAAACTACCTAGACTAGAAGATCTACTATGTTACAAAATATTTCTCCCCTCCTTGCTTTAATTGGTCCTTCCATAGGTGGTTTCTCAGGAGAGTGACACGGCTCCTAATCTTGTTGGGGTGCCAGGAAGCTTTGTTAGAATCTATTTAAAATCACGTGAAGCCTTTTTGAAGAAAATGGGAGATTCAAGGCCCAGAGTAAGGCGAGTATAAGATGGTGACAGGACACTGTGTTGTGCTCAAACACCAATCAGGACTTGTCAAAAAAAAAAAAAAAAAAAAGCCTGAAGGGCTCCCACTGGCCAAACTTGGAAAATCTGAGTGCCAAAAAGAATAATGATAATAATGGATTATAACATATTTTCGAAAACAATCCATGAGTCCATAGTGGTACTTGAAAAAATAGGTGTAGAGAGGGGGAAATACCCCTCTTCTTTATATAAGAATACTTGCTAATAAATGTGGAAGGAATGACGGGATTAGAACAATCATAATTTTTTAATTTCTAGTGCAGTTCTTGCTACTGCAAGGATCACCGACAGATGTTAAAACCATTAGGTGAATTTGTTGGGGAATGAGTTATTCATGCTGTTTGGAAGTATCACCCTACAGATTACTTATTAATTACAAGGTATCTTTACCATGGAGGGAGATTGTAATGTATCCAACCAGTCAACTGTAGCATCACCAACGACTGGACAAACTGGCATTATTGTGCCTCCTGAGAGGGCCACTGTGATACGGCAGAATGGATAGGCTAGGATACTACCTAGGTAGGACCCTTGGCAAAGTAGTTAACGTGAATCCAATCATGAGGAAATAGCTGGACATGTTTGTGAGACACAGCACTAGACAACTGGCTGGGACTTCAAAAATGTCATTGCCATTCATGACCAAAAAAGGTGGTGTGGTGGTAGCTCATTCTAGATTAAAAGAGAGTAAACAGATGTGCCAACCAAATGCAATGGATGGTTTTTATTAGACTGTGGATCAGAAAGAAAGAGAGAGAGAGAGGGAGAGGGAGGGAAGGAGGGAGGGAGGAAGGGGAGGGAAGGAGAGAGGAGGAGGACTAAGAAGAGGAACAACTTGCTATGAAGACTATTTTAGGATAACCGGATATAATTGAATAAGAACTATTTGTTAGATAACATTATTGTATCAGTGTTAATTTTTTAGGGGTGGTATTGGTAATGTGGTTATTTTTTTTTTTAAAGATTTTATTTATTTATTTGACAGAGAGAGAGACAGTGAGAGAGGGAACACAAGCAGGGGGAGTGAGAGAGGGAGAAGCAGGCTTCCCGCCGAGCAGGGAGCCCGATGTGGGGCTCGATCCCAGGACCCTGAGATCATGACCTGAGCCGAAGGCAGTCGCTTAACCAACTGAGCCACCCAGGCGCCCCGGTAATGTGGTTATTTAGGAAAATATTCTTGTTTTTACCAGGTGTGTGCTGAAGTATTGAGAGATGAAGTGTCATGATGCCTTGCGGCTTATTTTCACAGGGATTAGAACAAAATAAAATAAATGATAGGTAGATAGATAAAGCAAATGTTGCTAGGTGAAGGGAATGTGGGTATTCATTGTAGTGTTCTTTTGATTTTTCTTTCAATTAAAATTCAAAATAAAAGGTTAGGTTGGGGGAATGTCACAAAAATAGGCAAGGGCAGGTCATGATAATAGATACTTGGTTACCTTTTCACTGTGAAATCACACTAGTCATTAGCTCACTGACATCACCTCATTGGAAGAGAGAAGTAAAGAGTGAAAATGATTGTCTGCAAAAATCCTAAGGAGCTAGAGAGCAAGAACTGACTAGTGAAACAATTAATTAAACAAAAAGAAATCTCAAAATAGTAGCTTGGTTCTCTAAGAGCCTATATCCCTATCCATTTGCCAGAAATATCAAGAAATGAGGATCCGGATATGAGACCTATTTGGCCTCACTAAAGGAATAGTTAAAAAGAACCCAAGTTATTAAATGTAATTCACTTCATTAAAAGTTTGACTGGATTTATGGGTAGCTGCAGTGTGTTTAAAATGAGCAATTGGAGCCTTTTAATATTTCCAGACTTTGTAGTGATTTATCACCATCATTATAATTTATTGTTTCATGATCCTAATTATCGGAAGAGCTGATGCTTCAGATTTTGATGAAATGAGTCGGGCCACGCACTAAAGCCAACAGAACATTGAAAGGAGCACACTTCATCCCGTGAGGTCACTTAGGCCAAGCGCCGGGCATGGCGGGGCCTCCCCAGAGCACGGGCCTACCTGAGACAATGAAGGACTCTCTCCAGCGTGGCAGCGACAATGACTGCACACCATTGGAGTAACTCCCTTTGTAGCCAGATTGTCCAGCGACTTTCCGGACAAGTATTTTCCCTCCTGAATTATCAAGCACGCCACTATGAAGAGAAACAAAAATGTGAAGAACAGAAAAACACCGTTTGACGCAATCAACCGACCATCAAACCAGCCTCTGTCTTTACTGAAAGATAGGAAAGCAGGGAGATTAAGATGAGGTTTACCCTGACTTGCCGCCCACCCCCCAAGAAGGGTGCCTCCATCGCATGGCCCAGCATCTGAGCTTGAGGTCGGACATCCTCTTTCTTATTATCAGGACCTGGTTGTTCCGTTAGGCAGCAATTTCTCTTTGCCACCGTGCCTCAGATTTCTTTTCCTTGGTTTCCTCATCCCCACTAGTTCGTTCTTTTAAGTAAAACGTCCTTCCTGACCATTTCTAATTTGGTGTCATGACACGGCAGAATGACTCCCGCTACTTTGAAGGGTGGCCATGACATTTTGCAAAACACATTATTCCTTTTATTTTGGGCCAGGGAAGGGAGGTGTGCAGCTAAACTGAACTCATGAAAAAGACTCCCTCCTAGAAATCGTTTCTTTAATTTCTACGATTTTGAAGATTTTAGATCCTGATGTGACAGAGACTGACGTATCTACCTCTTCGCTTGCACGTGAAGCAAGGCCTCCATTCTGGTTCCTCAGCATCCCCTCCCCTTGTCCTTTCTTTGCCCCAGAGCCTAAAATGGCTCCCGTGGGTATCTGTGATTTGTAGCACACAGGCAGCTAAAAACACACTTAGATTTGTTCTCATCAACACCCTCCCTCCCCTCCAGGAATGAGAGCTGCCGTTTCCTGCCCTCCCACCTTCACAAGTCAAGAACTTTCAACACTCAACTGCTCAGTGACCCGGAAGGAAGGAAAGCGATAATAGTACTTGACATATAGAGCACGTAATTGCTTTAAAATCATCCCTGTGTGAGGTTTCTCACCGGCTCCTCCCGGCAAACCTGTGAGTTGCAGAGGGAAGGTGGTGCTATTGTTCCCATTTCCCAGAATCGGGCTTGGACCAGTGGAGTGACTCAGTCCAGATTTTGTAACTGGTTAAATTGCAAGGGAGGGATTTGAACCCAGGTCTAGCTGACCTGGAATCCTGGGTTTGTCCCACTTGGTCACAGTGGCCCCTCAGAGTCCGAAAGCACGGGTACCTCCTGATGCCAACTCCTCATCTTTCCAAATCTTTTTTTTTTTTTTTTATTCTGACCTGGAGAGATTTTCATTTATCTTTTGAGGGTCATCTTTCCAAATCTTTGTGACCCTGCCCTCTCTTTTCTCTTGGGAGCTCAGAATCCGTTAGCTCAGGTCTCCCAGGTGCAGCCAGGCTGGTCTCAGCGCCCCCAACAGAGCACATGGTTTCCACTCACGCGTCTTGTTCATGCTGCTCTTTCCCTCTGGAAAACCAGCTCCCACTTCTGCCTGACGAGGCCCAACACTTTCTTCTCCACAGAGATTCTGAAAAGACTTGGCTCCATCCCTTCCTAACGATGCCTCAGACTCTTGTCTCACAACCCAGACTCTGATTTTATTTGGTCTTGTGCGATTTCCTAAACATTTCTTGAGTTGATTTTTGTCTCCCAACTAGATTAGACGTTTTTCTTAGGGAAAAGACAGTATTTTATCCTTCTGCGTGCGTTGGAAGGCCTGTCGGTGGAGTGTGGATGCCACCCACAAGGGCTTATGAAAGCCAACTGTTAACTTTCCAGGATTGTGAGAATTGGTTCACTTCACACAGTAGCTTGAAATCAGCCACGGTGGGAGGATTTAAACCCCTGAAATTGGTAACTCAGCACTACCCCTGCTTTGGGGGATCTGGCCATTCAACATTGACAAGCACGGCCCTTGTGTAGGCTGAACATTCTATTTATTTGAAAAAAAGAATATATATCCCCTGCTCCCTTTACTTATAATTAATGGGGAAGATAGAAATAACAGCTTTTTTCTTTCCCTCCCAGGAAATTATTCGGCCCTCAGTTTCATAGTCCATTGTATTGAGGAAATGTGTGTGGGGGCACTTGGTCTCCTGTTGAAGTGAAGTCCGAAGCACGTCAGGGGCCATTCGCAGTGAGGGGGGAGGGGGGCCTGTGGTGAGCTTCCCTCAGGCTGTTTGAGGAAATGGGAAGGGCCCAGGGGCTTCTCAAGCTGGACAGGGCTGCTGACGCCCCATCTGAGGGTGATGTGAGACTGAAAACCCAGCCTTCAGGGAAGGTGCAGGACGGAACTATGGTGTGCTCATGAGATTTCTCTATTGCAGGCAAGAGGGATGCCTCATCTTGAGGATGGACTTAACTGGAGGATGTGGATCTTCTCAGATGTTCTAGAGAAGGGTAGATGCTGGGGAGGTCAGTGGTCTATAAACTCCAGATGCCAACGGCAGTCCATGGAGGTGGAATGCACCAGAGACTCGACCACTGGAGGAGACACTGGAGGAGGGAGAGAGTCTGCAAGAGGCTGTGGTTTCACTTAGGAAGCAGATAGGAGCCATGGTACTTTGGAGAATTTATGTAAATGTGACCTCATTTCTATCCTCACTCAGGGATAGGCACCTCATATATATTCTCTGAAAGAGCAAAAACCGGTTTCACTTCTTTGCATCCTCAGATGCCCTGCTTGATGCTAGACATAGCCTTCAGATTCCTGTCCTCCCTGACCCCGGTGCCAGGGGCCTGGGCTCAGCTGAGGGTCAGCTGCATGGTTCGGAGAAAAGGGCTGGGATTTGAACAAGTGCCATTCTCAGGGTAGGCTTCTGGTCAGAAATCAGCATGAAGAGTGCTCTGCATGGGGGTTGCCCCCTCATCGCCCCACTGGGGAGAAATCTTCCTTCTCCCCAGCACTTGGTCCCACTCTAAATACAGAGGTTGATTCAGGACAAGACTGAGCCAAAATATGATGCCTCAAATACATTCATCATCCCTTTGGTTTGAAAGAATCGAGGGAATCACTCATAATAAGACATCTGATTATGATATATTGTATGAATATTAAATCCTAAAGCTAATCTGAATGTCTGAACCAAAGTGTGCTCTCTCCAGCCTCCCAGTTCTGATCATGGGGGGCTCTGACAGGCCAATATTGGAGGCCCCGTGTGTACTTTCTACTCAAGTTCTCTGTCTTGAATCCTGCCTTCTGAAAACAGACTTGTTCTGTGTGTGAAAAAAAACAACTGAGAGTATCCAAAATTCCTATCTGTTCTCCCTTAAAACCTCTATTCATCCTTCTCATGGACAGTGATACTTCTTTCTGAATAGAGTTTCCCACTAGATCAGACGCTGGTCCAGGAAGTTTCAAAGGGCACTTGGTTGCTCAAGTAGCAAATCTTGTTTTTTTGAAACATTCAAGTTCTTCTCCACCCCTCTACCCTCCTCTACAGTCTCTCCACGAGTTCCTACACCCCAGTCCAAATGCTGGGATTGCCGAGTCCTGGTCCTTGTCAATACCCTTCTTATTTTGTCCCTGGTGGTGTGTCCATCCATCATAAAGCCGTTCCGACTCTTACTGGTCCAAAGTCTGCATCCACTTCCCTTTGTATATTAAGCAGTACTGGGGCTCCCCTGTTCTTATGTAAATGTGTCGCTTGGGCTCTGGACTGGAAGTCCCGGAACATGAGCTCTAATCCTGAATGTGCAACTAACTAGCCATTGAATTAGCTTCCTTATTTCTCAGCCCCTCTTCTAACAAATGGGAATGTTAACAGCAGCCTCGTGGGGTTGCGATGATGCTAGAAGGAGAGAATCACAGTGCAAGGGATTACTGTGATTATGACGGCATCTTTGTGAGGCTGGATTAACTCATGCGACTCTGACCTGCCTGGGAAACACAGAAAGGCAAGACAGAGCCAGCAAGGGACAGAGAAAGCAAGTGCCAACCATTTTGGGTCCCAGCTGGAAAAATATAGGTGACCTTAAGACAGGCTCGGCCCCTGCAACAGACATCAGTGTCCACATAGACACGGACTGGAGAGTGCTCATGGTGTGGATGCTGTTCGGGCACGCACACACATGTGTAAGGATGCATGTGAGCATGCACATGTGTGCAAACATATGTGTGGGAGCAGGCATGTGTGTATTCGTGCACACGCATGTATGGGTAGATTTGTGTACCTCTTTCCTTTATGCATGAAATTTCTTTCAGAGTGAAAGCAAAATATTTTTTCTACAGTCTGGGGTTAAGAAACAGGGTTTGGTATAGTTCTTCTTGAATGTTTCCCTACTTCTCCATAATAGAGCCTTCAGAGTCCTGCTCCCGTTGGAAAATCAGTCAAGCTCATCAGCCCTCCACAGCTGCGGTGAGGAGGACGGCAAACAGACTCTGCTAGTAATTCTTAAATCTCAGTTTACACATAGACTTCGTTCTTGCTGCTTCCCCAAATTTCTGAGAAGCCACTGACGAGACACCTGAAGAGGGAGTAAATTTTACATCTTTCCCCCTCTCTCTGGCAGGGATAAATGGATCCATCACCTGACTGGTGTGCAAGTAAAGAGAAGGAAAAAGATCCTGAAGCCCGAATACTTCAGAAACTTTGCCCAGTATCTGGTGGCTGAGCATTGATTCCGGAGTCGTGTCCCAAAGCATCTCAAAAGTGGTGGTTAGGAGCGTGGGCACTGGACTTAGGTTTGAGTCCCCACTTGGATACTTGTTAATAGTGTGGCCTTAGAAAAGCTAGTCAGTCTCTCTCCTCTTTAAGATGTGGATAACAGTAGTAGCTACCGCATAGGGAACCATGAGGATTAAATACGGTGACATAAGTGAGATGCTTGACATGGACACTCTTAGCCTTATTATCAAAGATAGGAAGTAGACACGCATCTTCCTGAGTTGGGACTCCCAGCCTAAGCAAAAAGGTCTGAGGATTCTGTGAAGGTCACTTCTGCCTCTCCTCATTTAGGCAGTGACTTAGTTCAAAGCATGTCCTACTTCCTGTCCTCCTTCCTGGAGCCCAAACCAACAGCTGCCCAAGCAGAACCACCTGTCACCCTCTTCCTCACTTTTCCTGTTCTACTCGTCTCCAGGCCATCACCACTGCTGTGACATTTCTTCTCCAAATTTCCAGGCCTTCCTTACTCACATCCCTAATATTTCCTCGTTCAGTACATACAGGGAGAAAAAACATGCTTTATGTCACCGAGAACTATGGTTTCCTTGTCATGAACATGAGAGAGTAGAATTCTCCTCCCCATCCCCTTAGGGTCGGGGAGAAGTCGGTCCTTTCCACGGAGCACTGTGGAAGGAGATCTGGGACCACGCATGGCTTCTGCGTGATCCCATGGGGTAGGGTTGCCACAAGAAGTACTGGATGCTCAGTTACATGTGTACGGTGTTGCCTGCTCAGTCAGGCAACCTGCACGGGGAGCTCCCTCCCCACAGCCTGACTGCTCGTTAAGTAGCTTGGAGGTACCCACCTGTGAATCGCGGCGCCACACACGCTCGAGTAGGATGCATAGATATCCGTGCCATAAACGTGGTATTTCGGGTCTTGGCATCCTGCCGGACATTTTACAACAAACTCAAGATTGATTATCTTTCCAGCTTTGACATCGCAGTTGATCTGGGGCACAGCTGGGAAAGCAAAATGAGGTCAAAATTACACTTAGTGGTATCAGCTTATACATGGGATGACTCTGCTAGGTCGTAACTGTTCATTTACTTAATCTCCAAAAGCCAGAGCCTGGGCTGACCCTGGGTCCTCTCCATATAATGAAAGCAAAGATATAATTAGGACATTCCTCAGACCAAAAGAACAACAATGACCATCAGATGCGTTTAACCTGCTGAGAGCAGAAACAGAGGTGGAATCTTGTGCTTCTCCAGACAATTGAAGAGGAGAACTCTGGGAAAAGACCCACCTCCAAGGGTCAGAAACGTCACCTTGAGCCCATGGCTGGAGAACACTGGTTTTTCAGATGCTCAGGAGCTAGCCCAGGAAAAGAGGGACCTCTCAGACAACCTTACAGGACAGAGGGAAGGCATTTCAGGAAGGGTAAATGAGGGAGGCTGGGCCCGGGGGCCAGGAGGCCAGGACCAGGTTGGCCTGCTGCCTCAGAGGCCCTGTGCTGGAGCCGGGCAGGAGGATGGAGAATGGGAGTGTTGGGCCAGGTGAGGGAGGCGGCAGTGCTTGTCTTCTGTTCAGGAGGTGGGGCACAATGGAAGGTTTTTGGACAGGGAGACAGATAATGAAAGAGATCTTTGGTTGAGGTCCTAGAGAACGGGTCCTAGATCCAGGGCAAGATGAGAGCCATCTTTACCCATCTCCCTCAACACTTGGTGGAAAGCGTGGTAATCCCCCATGGAGCATCTAGAAGAAATTCATTCTTTCCTCTCTCCTTTTTGGCTTTGTTGCAGCCATTGCCAGACTAGCACTGTCCATCAGGCAAGTCTTCTAGAGCTGAGAGTTTGCCCGGGAATGAGGTGGCACAGATTGTCTAGTGGCAGTACCTGAAAGGGGGACTTGCTGCGTCTTTCCTGAAAAAATGGCCCTCAAAACTCCTGAAGGGAAAGGTCTCCTAGACGATACTATCCTGGTGCCCTTGTAGCTAGGAATGTCTTCTGTTCTGGGCCCCTTTCTTCACAAGGGACTCTGAAACATGAGCACAGTTCAGAGAGTAAGCAGGCTCAGGAAGAGTCCAGAAACCATCAGATGTGAGGGCTGGCTGGCAGACGGGGCTGTTCGTCCATGAGGAGGTGAGAATCTGGAGGAGGAAAGGAGTCCTTGTCTTCCCAAGTAGGACTGTTGTGTGCCATGACACCAGACGGCCAAGCGAGAACGAAAGGGGAAATTTTCTACCGAGGCAAATTCTGCAAAGAAGAACTTTCTAGTGCCTGAGGTTGCCCCTGAAGGAAGGGGCTGCCTCCTGAAGCAGTGCATTCTCTGAAGCATGCGAGCAGGGACTGAACAGTGGAAGAGGGGATTTCTGCATTGGGTGGGAGGGAGAAATAAAGCCCCGCCCAGTGCTAAGAGTCCGTGATTACACACAGGGATCCAGGATCTCTGCCAGGCCACCCACCCTCTGACTGGGTTACCGAGATGGTCTCAGAGTTGTTAATGGCTTCCAGCTGTATCCAAGACGCACACTCTTTTTTTTTTTTTTTAACCCTTATGTACCTGGACAGAGCAGAGTTGCGTTTCACTCAGACTACGGAGAGAAGTGAAGTTAGAACTCCTGCTCTTTTCCTAAACACTCCTCCCAGTCGATCTTGGCCATGCAGGGCTGGGCCAGCATGGAAGCCCTTCTCCTGGGTGCGGTGGGTGGGGGGCGGGGGCAGGTCTGATCGCAGGCTAAAACAATTTGTGGTCTCAGTTAAGAAGCCAAGCCCTGTGCTCTGAGCAGCCTGCGCGTTTTCTCCTCCCTACCACAGGTGGCCTCCTCTCCAAAGCTGTGTTCCTTTTATCTTTTATTCTTTTCAATCCTGATACTCAAGGCTGCATTTACTATTTTGAGCCTTAGAATATTTATTTATTTTTTTTTAAAAGGCACTTTGGGGCCTAAAGACGCCAGTGTCTTCTCTCCTGAAATTAGTTAATTGCTCCCTGGGTGTAACTGGGCGTGCTCAGCTCCCCTCCCTTCTGCACGCCACTCCCCCACTCCCAAATGCATCTGCTCCTTCACCTGGACACAAAATGGACCTGCCTTCTTGGTTCTCAGGTATTTGAACTAGGAGGTGACCGGCTCTGAACTGGGACTTAATGTGGATGTGACTTTGGCTCCCAGAGGTTTTGGCTCTCCTGGCAGGCCAACCCAAATTTTCTGGAGTGGAGAAGTTAAAAGGGGGGGAAATCTAGAAGCTTATTGCATGAGTGTTACACAGTGATCAAAGCTACTGAAAGACTTCAGGGTATTCACAGTACAGGAAGGGGTTTCCATGAAATAGTTGGTTTAAAAAGACAAGGGGGAAAAGGTCACATGGGAATATTTTGCTTCCTGCTAATCAAGTTCCCCTTTCCCTTAAGGGGTGTTTGTTTGTTTGTTTGGTCTCAGTTTTTACAAAGGCCTGGAAGTAAGTTAAATGAGATCTGCTTTAACCGCACCCAGTTCGATCAGTAAAATCAGTGACTTAACTGGACCCCTAGCAGGGAAAAAATTAAATCAAGCACATACACTCATGTGCTTTGGAAAAACAGGGTGCAATGGCAAAGTGTGGCTAAAGGTCAAATATTTGTTAAATTTGTACAGAATATTAAGCTGGAGAGAGTGAGCTAATTAAAAGTAATTGCCAAAATCACTGGAAAGTGTAATGTCTGAATCCGGCCTCTGGAAGTGGCAGCCATTTGCATCTTTTTGGCCACTCTTCTTTGAGTATGGAAACCACGGTTTAGTTCTTTCCAGTATTCACCTGGTTGTTTGTGAAGTCGTCTGTTTTCTTGTAACCTCTGAGAATCTTTCCTCCATCCACTTAAGGCCCAAACGAAGTGATTTCTCTTTGCATTTCCTCTGAACACTTTTGAACTATTCGATCCTACAGCTTAGGTTTTCCTTTTTCTTTCTCTTTTGTTGCTCAGATTCATTTTCGTGTCTCCCTTCACCTTTCTCTGGGTGTTTTCTCAGATGTGCAGAAATAAGACTTCTTTAAGAGAACAAGTCAAAATTAAGGCAGCTCAAGAATATCCCACTATTAACCTCAGGAGACAACTTAGTTAGAAGTCATCAAAAGGTTTCCTGCCAGGAACGTTTTCAGAAAGCAAGGCAAGAGCCTCTCCCATTCCTTCCTGAGTCGTCACCGTGGTAGTTAGGGAGCCCAGAGATCCTGGGGTTGCCCAGAGCTGCGTGGGTAGAACCTTTGCACAGAGACCTGTTCCTTGGCCATGTGCTCTTCTTCTCCCTCACAGGATGCCTTGCCTTCTCATGGTCACTATCACTTTCATGACACAGGTCAACATCAGAGCATCGCAGAATCCACCAAGGATTTCTTCCCAGAGGCCCTTGGCACCAGCCACAGGCAAAAGAGAATCATCTGCAACCCGGATAGTTAGAACTAAAAGATGACCTTTAGATGCTGCTCCCTGAGGTCCTGTGATTGCTGTATGGATCTCAGAGGGTCCGTGGGCAAAACCCGTAGTGTCTGAGCCACTATTTCCTGCAATACTGGAATCTTAGAGGCAGCACTGCGTGTGCTCCTACCCTGGGTTGGGTCTCCTGCCTGATCTAATAGCGGATCAGGTGACGGGTATTCAGACCAGGTGATGTCACATACAATAAGCCAATGATGCAGCAGGCCAAATCAAAGGGAAGACTCTACTTCTTGTTTTCCATTCGTCTTTTTGCTGATCCCGGGCAGGCTATGTTGCTTTTGGAAAACAGATTTCCTAATCCATTCAGAGAAAGCCATTGTAAGCTCGCCTCCTGGCTGCTTATGAGGAAGAATTGTTATAACATAAAAACATTTATGCAAAGTTGTTTTGATATGAAAGTTGATTTTGTTAGACTGTGATATTGAAGTAGAGCAAAATCCTACTTTAAGAGAATTATACAAAAATGTAAATTTAATGAAATAAAAATGACCATTAAGGGTGCATGGGTGGCTCAGTTGGTTAAGCGACTGCCTTCGGCCAGGTCATGATCCTGGAGTCCCTGGATCGAGTCCCACATCGGGCTCCCTGCTCGGCAGGGAGCCTGCTTCTCCCTCTGACCCTCCCCCCTCTCATGTGTTCTCTCTCTCTCTCTCATTCTCTCTGTCTCAAATAAATAAATAAAATCTTAAAAAAAAAAAAAGACCATTAAGTAAAATTTGAAGATGAATATTTCCTTCTCCTTGATCCTGACACCCAGTGACCAAATCATGGTAATCTTTCCTTTATAGTGACTTCTTTTGCAAAGCATTCTTTCCCATTTTTCTTAAAGTCCTCCAACTACCTTGAATCTCTGTGTAAAAACCCATCAATACCTTTTTGCTGCCTCTGAAAAAATTCTACAACCTGTAAGGCCTTTCCATAGTCCCCTCCACAGAACTTCTGGGCTTGCCACTACAGTTCCTGATACTTTCCAAATGCATATTATCTTGCAAACCTGGCTTGGATCATTTCTCACACCTGGAACCCTTTTTCCTTTTATCTGTTTAAACGCTACTACTTTTCAAGGTCCCAGTTTCACTTGTATCTTCATTCACCTACTAGAATATATACTCCACAAAGGCAGGGATTTCTGTTTTGTTTACTGCCAATCAAGAATGTCTGCTGAGGGGCGCCTGGGTAGCTCAGGCTGTTGAGCATCCAACTCTTGGTTTGGGCTCAGGTCATGATCTCAGGTTCATGAGATCCAGCCCCATGGCAGGCTTCATGTTCAGCAGGGAGTCTGCTTGAGATTCTCTCCCTTCCCATCTGTCCCTCCCCACCGCTTGCATATGCCCTCTATGTCTTTCTCTATCAAATAAATAAATAAAATATATATAAAAAAAAGAATCCTGAATGAGTGAATGAATGAAACCAGTCCATTAGCAAATCTTATTAGTTTTGTTTCTGAAGCTGCTATTCCTCTCTACCTCCATGTTGGTCCAAGTCACCAACATTTCCTGTCTGGACTATTAACATAATAGCCTCGTATCTTGTCTTCTTCCTTCCATGTTGC